ATGGGTGCGGTCTTGGGGCAGCTCCCACTCCCGGGGATAGCCGGACATTCCAACCATGGCCTCTGTGCAAGCACAGTGGCTCTGACGGTGCAGGGCACGGTCATCCTCACCTCACAGAAGGGGGCTGGGCTTCACCCACTGTGTCCCCAGGGAGAACTGACCCTTCTCTTCTTTCTCCACAGACGCACCAGCTGCACGTGCAGGGCACCCCACCCCACCCGGGACATGCTCCCACACCTGAGGGCTCCACAGGACAACCACAATATTGCAGGGGTATCGAGAGCAGCAGCTGGGGGCCCTGCGAGCCCTGACCTGCATTATGGAGCAGAGGGCACAGGAAGAATGGGAGTTCCGGAGGGAGCTGCCATTCCAGAGAGGGAATGAGGTTTAACTGTTAATTCGAAGTAAGGGGTTTAGGTTTAACTGTTAACTCAAACTAAGGGGTTTATCTCGGAATCGCGCTTCTCTGACGCATGTAGACGCGGGCAGTTACTCCGGGCTAGTCAGTTTCCAAAATGGCGACCGGCCGGGAACATGCTAATGAAGCGTGGGATATTCAAATCCCGCGCTTCATTTGCAATTTCAGTCGCCTTCATTAGCCTTCCTAGTCCGAACTAGGGGGATAGTGTAGACGTACCCCCAGAGATCAGTCAGACTGGCTCTAACCTGTATAGGGGTTTCCTCTTAGTCTAAAGGGGGAAATATCTCTGGAGAAACTCTGTCCCTTCAAGTATCAGAGGCCATGTTAGTATGTACCTGTAAAATGAGGAGTTCTGTGGCTGCCCCAGCACAGTTTTGCATGTTTGACTCTCTTCACTAATGAGAATAATGTGCGGTGGGGGGAGGGGAGGTTTCCAGGTCATGGAATCTGAATATGGACTTCAAGATTCAGTCCTATTTATAATAGACAGACAATGATTTCATGTTTAGTTGTAGCTGTCTCAGTCCCTGGATATTAGAGCAGTGATCACAAACCAGTAGATCAGGATCTACTGGTAGATCTTGGAGCCTCTGACAGGTGATTGTGACTGGTTTGGCCAAGAGGCTATCAAGTGCTGGCACTTCAGCTGTCCCTCCCACTACTGCTACACACCTGCCTTGAAACTGCCTCTTCCCACCCCCAGGAGCCTCCTGCTTGCTGGGCAGGGCAGGGCAGGAAGAAGAGGGGCACTGATGTCAAGATGTCCCCACCCACCCTGTATCCTATCTTCACAGAGCAAAGAGGGGGCACAACAGAACTTGGGAGAGAGTGGGCTGGCTGCTTTTGGGAGTGATGCAGGGCCAGGCCAGGGGTGAGCCTGCCTTAGCCCCACTGCACCACCACCCAGGAGCCACCTGAGGTAAGTGGTGCCCCATCAGAGCCCACATCCCGAAACCCTACCCCCGTCATGAAACACCTTCTGTATCCCAGCCCTGAGCACCCCTGCATCCAAACACCCTCCCAGAGCTTGCACCTAGAACCCCTCAGACATCCCAACAGCCTGCCCCAAACTCAGTTCAGAGCCCCTCTCGCACTCCAGATCCCTTAATCCAGGACCAGAGCCTGCACCCCTACCAGCTGCCCCTGCCTGATGAAGGAAGATGAGGGAGGGAAGGAGGATGGAGTGAGCAGAGGCGAGGCCTCAGAGAAGGGGCACAAAGGAGGCGAGGGAAGGGTATTTGGGTTTGAGATAGCTCTTGGATTGCACTTAAATTCAAAAAGTGATCTCATGTTTAAAAAGGTTGGACCACCGTATTAGAGAGACAAGGGAGTGTTTTACTGGACTAAATTCTGTTGTAATTCACCTAAAACATAGCACATCAACAAAAAAAGAATTCGCTTTTAAAAAAAATCTAGACATAGGATGCTTTTTCTGACCCTCTTTCAAATATATGACACCATCACATCTCCAAGATTTTGATTTTTTTTCTTACAGTCTCATAAATTTGAACCATTAGAATATGAAGAAATCTGCCTTATTACATGGCAAGTGATATTGTTAGAAAAGTCTATATACTTACATTTGGTAAAATAATTTGTAAGTTGCAATTTTCTGATGAAGCAGTTACTAAGAGATTCATTTCTGTTTCAATTTTTGATGTAAATCTTCATCCAATTCCTAAAATTGAAACCATGAAGAAACTCAGTAAACGGCGAGCAAATACAGCATGGCTACGTCTAGACAGGCATGATTTTCCGGAAATGCTTTTAACAGAAAAGTTTTCCGTTAAAAGCATTTTTGGAACAGAGCGTCTAGATTGGCATGGACGCTTTTCCGCAAAAGCACTTTTTGCGGAAAAGCGTCCGTGGCCAATCTAGATGCGCTTTTGCGCAAAAAAGCCCCGATCGCCATTTTCGCGATCGGGGCTTTTTTGCGCAAAACAAATCTCAGCTGTCTACACTGGCCCTTTTGCGCAAAAGTTTTGCACAAAAGGGACTTTTGCTCGAACATGAGCAGCATAGTATTTCTGCAAAAAGCACTGATTTCTTACAGTAGGAAGTCAGTGCTTTTGCGGAAATTCAAGCGGCAGTGTAGACAGCTGGCAAGTTTTTCCGGAAAAGCTGCTGATTTTCCGGAAAAACTGGCCAGTCTAGACACAGCCATCATCAGTAAAATAACTGAGCCATCTCATTTTAAATTTACTAGAGAAGATATGTTATGAAACTTTATGCTTTTCTTCTTTTGCATGATGAGTGATAAATAGCGATCTGCTTCATTATCTTACACATCTAGGCTGTGTCTACATTGGCACCCTTTTCCGGAAAAGGGATGCTAATGAGACAAGTCGGAATTGCAAATGCTGCGGGGGATTTAAATATCCCCCGCGGCATTTGCATGAACATGGCTGCCGCTTTTTTCCAGCTCGGGGCTTTGCCAGAGAAAAGCGCCAGTCTAGACAGGATCTTTCGGAAAATAAAGCCTTTTCCGGAAGATCCCTTATTCCTGATTTTAACAGAATTCTACTTGTCATTACCTACAGTCCACAACTTAAACCCCTCCAACTCATTATCCGCAATCTACAACCTATCTTGGAAAATGACCCCTTGCTCTCAGAGGCCTTGGGAGAAAGGCCTATTCTCACTTACAGACAACGCCCCCAACCTGAAACAAATCCTTTCCAGTAACCATGCTACACGGCATAAGCATCCAGGAACCAAGCCCTGCAAACAGCCCCGGTGCCAACTCTGCCCAACCTCTATGCAAGTGATTTCATCACTGGACCCAATCACATCAGCCACCAAATCAGAGACTTATTTAACTGCACATCCAGTAATGTGATCTAAGCCATCAAATGCCAGCAATGCCCCACTGCAATATATATTAGACAAACTAGACAAATTTTTTCCTATGGGAAAAAATTAATGGACACAAATCAGATATCCGAAAAGGCAACACTCAAAAACCTGTTGGGGAATACTGTAACGTCCCCGGACACTCATTAAGGGATCTACAAGTTGTTTTGTTTCAGACCAATTCCACAAGCCAAATACACAGAGAAGGATTGGAACTCCACTTCATTCTCAAGTTTAACTCTCATGCAAATGGTCTAAATCACGATATTGGATGGCTCGCACGTTATCAACCAACTAATGAGGGCGCCAATGGTTCTTGATCTCTGTATAGAATCTGGAGTTAGTACTCTTCTTTTCCTAGTACAAACTAATGGTTCTTATCAGCTTCTTTTAACTATTTAGTCTTTAAGATGCTAATAGATTATTTGTTGTTGTTGAAGTTTTTCCTGTTACAGAATGGCTCAGTTATTCCTTTGATACTTATCTACCCAATGTCTTCTTTCTCCCTCCCATCCAATTCGCCCCCGCTTATTTATTCTTGGTTCTAGACTTCCAACACTCTGGTCATCTGAAGAAGTAGGCTGTGTCCACGAACATCTACATCCGTGGTCACCAACAGGTTGATCGCGATCGACTGGTCAATCGCGAAGCCTCGACCAGTCAATCGCGAGGCGTCCTGTCCGACCCACCCCCATTTCCCTCCCACCCCCAAGAAACCCCACTACTTACCTCAAGTGAAAATGGAGGTAGTGTCGGCTTCCAGGCGATGGACAGAAGTCCCGCAACTTAGCGCCACTTCTGGCAATTCCGGAAGTGGCGTTAGCTGCTCTGCCCGGTGCACTGCGGGAGGCAGCATCGGCTCCCTGCACCGCACAGGAGGGGTGAGTCAGCCCCGGGGGCCGAGGCAGAGGGGTTGGCCCTGGGGCAGGCACGCGCGGGGCTTCCCTGCGCTGGAGGGGTCGGCCCCCTGAGCCGGCGCGCACGCAGGACTTCCCTGCGCAGGGGGTTGGCCCCGGGGCAGGCACGTGCTGGTTTCCCTCCGAGGGGGGGAGAATTCTGGGAAGAGGAAGATGCAGGGGACTCTCTGCCTCCACTGGCACCCCACTCTCCGTTCCCCAGCTCCCACTCCCCAGCCACAGAACTCTGTCCCCAGCTACAGAACGCTGTCCCCATTCCCCTGTCCCCAGCCACAGAACTGTCCCCACTCCCCGCACTCTGTCCCCACTCCCCTGTCCCAGCCACAGAACTCTGTCTCCACTGGCACCCTGTCCCCAGCTGCAGAACCCTGTCCTCTGCCCTCCCAGC